AAACTCCTTGGGCAGAACCTGGGCTGCCATGTGATACTAGGAAGCTGGTGTCCTCCCCTTGCACTATGGCAGTCAGGGTTCCCAGGTCCCAGAATGATCCAGCAGGTGGACGAGCTGGATCCAGTGTGTCTGGAGATGTCCATCCACCTTTCTCTTCAGGGGAGAGGTCTAGCAGGAAACATCGGCACCCAGTGGCCGAGGAGGCCGGGCCTGGCTCCTTACGATCATTCACCCCTCCATCCTATGCTGGCAGGTTGATAGCCAAGGACAAGGACGATCGTTGGAGAAAGTCACAAGCGGAACCTGCCGAGCCACGTGAACTTGAAGGGTGGCTCCACGTCCACTGCTGGTAGAAAGGCTGCAGAGGGGAGTTCAGCTGCCCTGGAGGCCCTGGGCTCAGAAGAGAGAGGCCAGCTTCACTAACTCCTGGGTGGATGGGTCCTTGTCACATTGTGGTGGCAATGAACGTCTCGAACATCTGGCTGTAAGTCCTTGGTTGTAAGGTGTCCAGGGTCCAGGAGTACCTCTGTCTGAGGTACTGGGAAAGCCCTGGTAGGGAGTTTCAGAGCCCCGGAAAGTGAGTGGAGTTTTGCAAGTGAGGCAGACGGGAGTTCTGAGCCACAGTTCTCTGAGCCTAAGTATGTACATGATCTTTCTATTTGAAGACAAACATCCCACTGACACCTGGTTTCGGTGAATTGGGGAAAAACCACTTGATAATAAGGAGCTATCAGTCATGCCCAGCAGACAGATAAAAATGATGGTTAGTGGCTTAATCAACAAAGTGATGGATGCATGTTCAAAGTCTCCAGCTCCTTATGAAATAAATGTCACTCACAACCATGCCTTACTCACAGTAGGCATTTAGTGAATACTGGTGAGACTGATGCTTCAGTGTGGTGAAGTCAACATCCCTGGCAGACAGGATAAAACTGGCAGCCCACTCACATCTCTACAGCTTTTCTTCCAAGTGTAAAATGACTCAACTTTTGTGTGGTTCTCAGACTACATCTTCTCTGCTGTGGGGAGACTGACTTGCTGGACATGGCCTGGGCCAGGGAGTGTCTATAAAAGCCTTGCTTGTTGAGCATCTGGGGTTGTGAAATGGCAAATCAAGGGCCAACTGTGATCCCAAGGATGACCCCACTGAACTTGCTTGCCTGAGTGACTCACACATGTGCTTAGAGCCCAAATGGCATGGCCTTGCATTGTATCTCACCATATAATAAATTGTAGCCCTCACATTAACCGGTCAGGCTTCAGTGATAACCAAAGTGCAGCTGCTGGTGGGGCCCTGATCAATACAGCTTTCTATTTATAGGATTGTTACAAATGGAAGTTTTATTTAAATGAGACAATGCTGAGGAGTACACAGAAGATCGATCTGATAAAATACAGTAAAAGAGTTTAATTTGGGTTTGATACCCAGCGCGCGTGCATGCACACTCGCATACACACACATTGACACCCACCTCCATGCTTTCCTGAGAGACAGCATATTGTGAAGAAAGGTCAGCAGCCTGCTCAAACACCCCTAAGGTAATCAGACTCTGAGGATGTGCTGGAGGGGGACAGGGTGCTTGAGAAAGAGCAAGAAGGCAAAAAGCACAGAAAAGGTGTTGGCCTGGGGCCCGAGGGACCCCGGGCTGTCGTTCCCTCCATGACTGGTTGGCTGTGTGGCCATGGAGGGGGACCTCTTCTGCCTAGAATTCCATCTCTCTGTTTAAAGATGAGCCCACTCAACTCTGACCCTGTGGGGCTCCCCAAAAGGAACATCATCCTAAAGGAACCACCACAAAAGGAGAATTACACTTTCTCTGCCTTGTCCATCCCTAGTTCCTATAATCCAGACAACCAGGATCTGAGGACCTTTGGGCACAGGGAAGTGAGGCTTCCAACCCCCGCCCCACCAGGAGTGTGCCACCTGAGCAGGGCTGGTGGGCGGGAGACATTTGTCTAGAGATTTCTGGCAAAGACAGAAATCTTTGTCGAGCTTTCCCAACCATGATGGGGCACTGGGGTGGGCTTACCACCTCCCTCCTGGGCCTCTGACTTATCCTCCGCAGGTGGGTACACCTATATGTCAACCTATGGAGAAGATGCGTGCATGAAAGGAGGTGGGGTCTGTGGGATGCCACACCCACTGCTTGGCGCGAAAGCAGTGCCCGGGGAACTGGATGTGCTCTCCGGAAGTTGGTAACAAGGGTCACCCGAGCCAACAGGCAAGGTTAAGTTGTCAGGCTGCTAATGTCTAATTGCAGACAGCCCAGCATCAGCCTGGTACCAACTTCCACACCCATCTGATCAGGAAAAGTGGTCCCAACTGGTATCAGGTGAGATGCTGTGTTCTCAGGCCCTCTTTGGAAAGTGTTGGCAGTGGTCACTCTCCCATCACCCAGGACTCCTGAAGACCCCTCTCGTCTTTTCCACTTTGATGCCATGAACTCTGCAGCAGCAAGAGAAGGCTGGGATTTATCACCCAAGTTTTCAACAAATACTCATTTCAGGATTTAGGTTTTCCTCTGCAGGATGGATCCATGTTTTGTGACAGGCGGGGGAGATTCTTGGGCAACAGCACCCAGGTGAAGACTCTTCCTCGCGGCAGAGTCCGGATGTTTATCTGGGGCAGGAGAAGGCAAGAGCCTCAAATTCCTCTCCAGGAAGAATTCATGTGCTGCAGTCTTAGGAAATGAAATTTTTCTTTTTAATAGCATAGAGAGACTTCATCTTGCATATTAGAAGTTTACCAGGTATTAGGTAATTTGGATCATAAATTCTCTTCAAAGTGACCCATCATCTCAGTATTTATTTTTTTTCCCCTCTGAAAGGATGGGAGGCATAAAAACAAGCTTTGTAGTTTTATATCTGTCAGCTTGTCACATAAATATCTCAGTAACAACTGATCTTATCATCATAAAACTTCCATTTGTATAGTTAGACATGTCATGTTGGCCAGTTACATAAAAGTCAAGCACACGCAATATACAAGCCTCAGGCCAGCCTGCCAGCCCTCCTCTGGCCGGCTGTGTTGGCTACAGAGAGGTTGCATGTGCTGGGCTGGATGGGAGCCCCATCAGGGAACAGAGCAGCTGGGGAGGCCTTGGTCCCCCATGCTGGAGGGTGTTCCCTGCAGGGTTGACAGAAGGAAGTCCAGAATGACGGGCGCCTGACTGCTTTCTCATAGGGCACCATTAGGCCACAGCTCGGTAAACATAGTTCAGGTCCTTTGTGATCGTGGCAGTAAATCAGGGTTCAAGTTCACTTTTCGTCAACTCTGTCAGGAAGTGGGGCTGGAAAATGACAGGGCTGATAGCTGCTAGTGCCACCCACTGCCCTCCAGCAGACCCTGATTTAGTGGGAGGGAAAGGTCCTATATGAACAAGTGCAGTCCATGGGGGAGGTGTGGCAGCTGAGCCTTGAGGGTGTAAGGAGGATCCTACATCCTACAAGAGGATGGAAGGATCCAGAAGCAGGGAGAAATCTCTGCTTTGCTGGGCGATTGGAGGGTGGGGGTGGAGGCAAGAGTCTAGAGAGCTTAACACCTTAGGGCATGAAGGTTGTACTTGGTTTTGGATTCAAGAGAGGACTTGACATGCATACCATTGCATGAGACTATCTAGTTTTCCTACTTATTGAGGACTAGCTGTATGCCAGGCATTGTACCAGGCCAGGGGCACAGCAAGGCTCCAGGCTCACCCAGCCCCTGACATTCCAGAACTCTTGGTCTAATAGGGAGAGGGAGTGGAAGCAAACTGTTACACAAATAACCGTGTATAGTCTCCACCTTGAACAGTAATGATGAGGGCTCCATGTGATAAGTGTCTGAAAGGTCCCTGCAGTCTGAGCTCTTTATTGAGCTCAGTCGCTCAGTCGTTGTCTGACTCTTTGTAATCCTATGGACTGTGTCCCCCTAGTTTCCTCTGTTCGTGGACATTTCTGGGCAAGAATACTGGAGTGGATTGCCATTTCCTACTCCAAGGGATCTTCCTGACCCAGAGATTGAACCAGCATCTCTTGCATCTCTTGCATTGGCAGGCGGATTCTTAACCTGTGCGCCACCTGCAATCTGGAAGTTCCCCTGAACTCCTTCGGGCTCCCCCATCCCCTGCCCCAGTCTTGCTCACAGGTGCATCTACAAACACCAGCCAGCCCACCACACCCCTGATGACGCAGGAACATGAGGAAGAGAGACAGGCTGAGACCTCAGAGTGGCCCAGGGATCCTGGGGCAGGAAGCTGAAAATGCCACCTCTCTGTACTCCTTGGGCCCTGCGGGTTCTGAAGAAGCATCAAGCTGAGTGCCGTTGCAGCTGGGACTTCTGTTCTAAGCATCCATTGGAAACATAAACTTCTTTAAAGGTAAATGTTGCCAAAATAGGCTCAGATGATGCCACTGAACATTGAGGAATGGTAGGTGGAGCTCAGGGGTCAGGATAAGGGCTCACCTGGGAGCCAGGGCTGGCTGGTGAAAAGGTGGGTGAAGACTGGAGAGACCATGTTGCATTATCCTGTGACTTTTTGTCAGTTTTGTGCTTTAAAACCCCCCTTTTATGGGTCCTTATTTAGGGTAAATGTGTTTTTGATCCCAACCTAGAAAAACAATAATAGCTATCCTGTATTGAAGGACTACATGCAAAGTGCTTCATTAATATTCTTGACGGTTTTGATGCCACAAACCTAGTTTTACAGGCGGGATGTAGAGGAGATGCTTTTGACAGACTCAAGATTCAAACCATAGCTGCCTGATGCCTTTCCCTGATCTGTGAGGCAGTTACCGCACCCACAGCTCTTGCTTCGTCCCTCTGTCCCCTTTGGGTGGCCGTGTCTGGACACGTGCTGTGTGATATGGCAACACTTGTGAACCTAGGATGGGAATATGAAATTCAAGGGAAATAAAAACTGCTTCTGGCCAAAACTGTTCATTCTTTCACCAGGCAACACATCATTTTGCCCGTTGAGCCTGGAACCTTCTCCCTCACCTGGACTTGCTCCTTCCTGAAGATGAAGCCCGAGTTTCTCTCCTCCGAGATGCTCTCTGATTGTCCCGGCCCTCTGAACTACCTTCTTTCTCTGCCCCAACATAGCACCTTGCTTCCTTCTCAGATACTACCCCCCGTCCATGTGCCACATGGATGTGAGTCACTCTCTGGTGCCTGTGCTGCCTAAACTATGATGCTGTGTGCCCTTCAACATCCTTTGGACAAGGTTTAGGTTGGGGACATAGAGAACACCAAACAAAAGTTTGTCCAAGAGCCAATTCTGGATAACCAGAGCTTCAGGTCACGTGCAGAATTCACTCTGGGGAGCCCTAGGCCACTGGGTACAGGTCAGACACCCACAAGTTCTTGGGAATCCCCCAAGAAGGTTAACCAGCAAGGGCAGGTAGAGTAGGTAACACAAGGCAGGTTCTGATGCCCAGCTCCGAACATGCCTTCATCGGCCATGACTAAAGGAAAACAGGAAAATGAGGTCAGAATGGGACCATCAGAGCCTCTCAGGTAGAAGAAGATGGTGGTGGTTTAATCGCTCAGCCATGTCCAGCTCTCTGCGACCCCATGGACTGTAACCTACCAGGCTCCTCTGTTCATGGGATTCTCCAAGCAAGAATACTGGAGTGGGTAGCCATTTCCTTCTCCAGGGGATCTTCCCGACCCAGGGATCAAACCTGCATCTCTTGAGTCTCCTGCATTGGAGGCAGATTCCTTACTGCTGAGCCACCAGGGAAGCCCCAGGTAGAATAAGGCAAGATGCAATTCTTTGAAGAACCTGACAGTCTCCCCAAAGAGCCCCCCAAGTCCACAGCCCATCTCTTCACCAGGGTGCACTCTCCAGATGCCCTCTCACCTGCCTTGGTGCTTCATCCAGACATGAGGAGGTCACATAGTGATTTCTTGAATGAGAAGAACCTCCAGATGTGGTTAACCCCGATTAGGGAGAGGCATCATTCACCTCTTCCCTCGCTTGTTCTCTGCTAGATACACGACCTCGTAATTCTCAAGCTAATCCTCGATTAACACCCAGGAAATCTGGGCCTTTTAATTAAAAGAAAGTCTAAAAAGAAAATAGGTCAATGGACCTTTCTGAAAGGTGGTCCCCAGCGAAGCCAAAGGCCTACCTTGGTATTTCCAGGTTTCCCAGTGTTAATAGAATTTAGATCGCAGGGAGAATTTAGATCACAGGAACAGAAAGCTCCAGCCTTTTTCACTGACCCAATTTGAGAAGTAAAAATTGATCAGCAGACCAGCTGGGCATGCAGACATAGACCACAGCATTTGCATGGGCTGTTAAGAGTGTTATTCACAGCTTCTGGTGGAGGAGCCAGGCACGTCTCTGCGTCCAAAACTGCGTGCTTATAATGGAGAAACCCCTGCCTTTCATGCCTGTGCATCAGGCCAGAGAAACAGGGCATAGCCCTCAGGTCAGGGAGAAGCCAGCTGGGAAAACCCACCAGCCTTGGGCGGGGGTGGGGGGGGGGTGCGGCAGGTGAGGCTACAGGAGGGGCTGTAGCATCTGTCACCTCTTCCCCCTGGTTGTCCTGTCCAGGGACCTGTGAAGGAAGGCAGTGATGTGGGGAGAGGAATTCCAGAACCTCTCTAAATGTAGTCGCCTCCTACATTTACCCGTGGATTAGAAAAATAATGTGTGTTGCTAAGATTAAAAGAAAAAAAAAGAAGAAATTTCATACTGTAAATGCCCAGATATTAAGGGAACAGTCTGATGAGTTCGGGCAAGGGTACACAACCATGTAACCACCAACCTAATCAAGATGTACATTTCCATGACTCCAGAATGTTCCCTGAGGCCCCTGTCCAGTGACTCCCCTCCAGAGGTGGCCAAAGCTCTGTCCTGATTCCTCTCACCACAGCCTAGCTTTCTCTGCTCCAGGACTCCAAACACACTAAATCATGCAGTGTGCATTCTTTTGTAACTGGCATTGCTCAGCCTATTGTTTGAGATTCCTTCATGGTATTGTGTGTATTAGTAGTTTAGTTTGTTTTGTTGCTGAGTAATAGACCATTATATGGTTCGACCACAGTTTGTTTATCCATTCAACTTTTGAAGTGTGAGAAAAAAGAAAATTCAAAGCATTCAAGGGACAAAAAATTGTATTCTAGGTCAGAATTAATAACATCCACAGATGTTTGCTGAATGTCTAATGTCTGCCAGACATGGTGCTGGGCATAGTGAGTGCAGCTATGGAGAGAACGGATGATAGCACTGCCTGCCCTCATGGCAGGAAGATTCTAGTCAGAGGCACAGACTGTGAGCAAGTTATCAGATGCATGACCAAGATAACTTAGATCATGATACGCTGTATGAAGGCAAGACTGCTATGGAAAATAAGCCAAAGATCACATTTTGAAGACAGATAATTTGGCATAGTTTTTTTGCTTAAAATTGCTATTAAGATCATTAGCCTGATAAAAGAAGCATTTGCATCACTTTCTGGTTTTCTGTTTAAAAAACACTCACTCACCAGTGAGTCTGGGTAAAGGGTGAAGTTCTTACCTCTTGCTGCCCTTTTCTTCTTTGCCCTACACTTTACTAAGTCTAAGTCCTCTTGGTATATCATTTCTTGGCATCGCATGTATATTTGTAGTTGTTTAGTAGAGATTTCCTAAAAATAAGACTCTTGACTCTGAGAAGTAAAGCCAAGAAACACATGTGCTGTGGGATCTGAATTGTATCCTCTAGAACAAAAACCACTCTCTGTTCAAAATTCCTGATAGGAGTGTTTTCAAAGGAAGCTCTTTTCTCTTTATCTGTAGGAGTTCTGTCTTGAGTTCTACAGTCTGCATTGTTAGGAAGGAAAGAGGAAGCGAGAGACACAAGGAGATACGTTAACATTCCATAATAAAGTAGTTCATGGCACAATTAAAATGATGTAGTAGAACAGTAACATGATATGCTGAATTTAAATAACTAAAGCTGATTAAGAAGGACATTGGAATTAAATGCTTGATGGAATTGACATAACAGATCCAAGATGGCCTCTCCACGTTTCAGCTGAGAGATGGTGCCAACCATTGATATTTTCCAGGCAAATTTGTTGATAGATAAAACATTTTTATAGACTTTCCATTATTCCTTGTAGCCATCAGCTTTTAATTTTCTCTTTCTAGTTAATATACTTGTGTATAATTTAAACAGAAAACTGTTCTGTTTCATCATAAAAGATTTGCCTGTTACTTTGGGTGTGTAAATCAAGCAGACAGCACAACATTCTTGAACTTGTTTTTTAAGGCATTTGTTGACAACAACAGAAAAGAAGATCACAGACACCGCCAATAAGCGTGGACATCAATTATTTTTTAATTGTATAGGAGTACAGTACACTAATTAAAACTAGTATATCTTGCAATGCCAAAGGCAAAATTAATTATTAATTTTTATTAATATTCAGAAGTAGCACAAGGAATGCATTAATAAAGATTTGGTGGTTGTGACTGAGATCTTGTTTAGCTTTATATTTTAGAAAGGAAAGGAAAAAAAGGTTTGCTGGCTGGATCTGACTAGCAAAGCCTGCACCGGAGGGATGATCTTTATTGAAAAGGAACATACTCTCCAGAGTGGGTATTTAGTGACAGAAGATGAGATGTGGAGGAAGATTATTTGAAAACCCCCAAAGCTTGTCTATAATGGTTTGACTTGACAACTCTACATTCACCTGTAAAAGTGTTATTGTTACCTTAGATACTTTTGGTTATTAAATTGGGTATTTTAGTTAAGCCGTCTTGAGTTGACATTTAATAATTCATTTAGGAGCCGTGCACAGAATATTACCCAGCTCACCAAATCCAAGATGAACAGAATTAGTTTTGTGCACTAAAAAGATTTTGACAAGAATTTCTCCTTCTCTTCCCTATCCCCTCCTTCTTTTCTCCTCTTCTCCTCCCTTCTCTCTCCTCCTGTTTTTCTTTCCTTGTCTCACAGTCCTAAGAGAGACCCTAAGGCTCCCTTGTTCTATCTGGCAAAGACAGAAGCACAGTCATGGTTTGCAGGCTGTAGACTTTAAGCCTACCCAAGGGCAGCCTCGAAATTGTGTCAGATGTACTTGGGCATCAATCTGTGTTTCCTTTGGTGCAATGGATGGTCTCTCCATTCCTGCAGCCTCCGATTAGATACCCTTCATGTCTGCTCTTTTAGAAGGTGCTTTGCTTCTTAAATCTGTACCAAGAAAAACCTTCAACGAGACCAAAATCCTTCACCTTGTAGTGGTGGAAATGCTGCTTCAGGAAGGGCAGGCTGTTTAGCCACAAGCTTTAAAAGGTTCCCTAACACCTGCCCATCGGCCCCCGTGGGTAGAACCATCAGAACCACATTCTCCATCGCCTACCATTCAGGGAAGGCTCTGCCTCACGCAGCCCAATCCTGAATGTTCGCGAATCTTCAAGGGTGAAAAGGAGAGGAATAGAGCATTCACAGCTACAATGAAGCTCCCAGCAGCAGTAGGCAAAACTGTATGGTATAGCATATGCACAGTTCATGCCTTCCCTTCACACCTCAGAATACAACACGACTCCCCAGCAGGCTCAAGCTGTCACCATTCCCATGGGGATGCGGCTTTCTGAAGAATACTTCTTCTACCTGCTGGTCCACCTTCCAGAACGCTGCTCCTGGGAAACAACATTCAGCCAGCCTGAGCAGGCATTGTGCTTCCTCAGACGTGTTGGAAAATTGCCTTTGAAAAAAAATCAGACAAAAAGTGAATCTGACTTCACACTAGCAACCTGTGGCAAGGCTCACACGCCCTGAGGTAGAGGTGGCCACACCTTCAGATCAGCATGGAATCCCAATAAATGCCTTGCCTGGTTTGCAGTCCAGTGGGAGATGAAGGAGGCTGGCTTCATCAGAGCCAGTGTGGGAAGCATCAACTGCCTCCATGAGATGCCAAAGGTAGCTGGGTGGTCCCAGGCCCTGACTCCTAGGAACTCAGATCCTTAGTGTCTCATATCAAGAGAGAGCACTGTCTTCACTTGTTTGTTCTTATTCCTCTGAAACCACATGGAGGAATATCACAGTGTACATATGCCAGTTAATAGGCATTATGATGAATTGTTGTTCTTTAAAAAAAATGATTTTTAAGAAAATTATTTCAAACAACAGTTATTGAACATGTACACCACTCTGGAG